AGTCAAAAAATAAAAATAATATTTACGAAGCTTTAGTGAACAGTAAATCAAGCGATGTTGAATCTCTAGTGAACCCTTTTGAAGCGTTTACGAAACATATTTGAAGTTTATCTGAAAAAATTCATAAAAATACTAACGAAGACTTGTGAGTCAAAAAATAAAAATAATATTTACAAAACCTTAGTGAACAGTAAATCGGGCGATGTTGAAGCTCTAGTGAATCCTTTTGAAGCGTTCACGAAACATATTTTAAGTTCATTTGAAATTTTTTATAAAAATACTAATGAAGACTTCTTAGTCAAAAAATAAAAATAATATTTACGAAGCTTTAGTGAATAGTAAATCAATCAATGCTGAAGCTCTAGTGAATTCCTTTGATGCGTTTATGAAACACGTTTAAGCATAAGCAAAAAAAAAAAAAAAAGGTGAAGTTTGTGAACTCAAAAACACATAATGAACTTTTAAATCTCCGTGAGCACATGCATCAAAGGTAGCTAAACTAAATGGCATGTTTGAAATTGGATAACTTGCCTGCAAAAAAAAGAAAAGAAAAGAAAAGTACATTATATTAATCAAACTTCCAAACAAGTAAAACAACATCAAAGACAATAGCAACATAAAGACATACAGATTCAGCAATGCAGAATCTGCAGAACCAAGCTCCGATTCATGATCTTATTTAGCCAAAATTTAAAACTAAAGTCTGAACAACGAAACAAAGATGTATTTAAGAAATGGTGCCAAGACACGATAAACTCATTATATCAATATATATATATGTGTGTGTGTATGTGTGTGTGTAGAGAAAGAAAACAGGGGAGAGAGAGGACCAGTAGGTAGGTCATTTTCACCATCCTAACATAAGAACTCACTTGTGAAATGGACACAATACTCCAAAAATGCTAATCACTAGAAAGGCTACCCATAAAACTTACAATGCTCGCATTCACACGACAGCATATAAATAGAAACAAGGTATGCAAATGTAGCACATAAACAGGGTATGCAAATGCTGTCTTGACAAGATGCATTGATCCGTATGCATCCTAAATCATCTCATACTCACAGTTTAGATCTTCATTTTTCTATTATATGTTCTACTTCTAATGGTACTTATTAATTGTTTTCCAAGCCCCACTAAATAACTAAAAAGATGCCTAACACTCACACCACTAGATGGCGAAAGCATGAGGACAATGAGGGTTAAAGCAAACAGAGAGAGGTCCTTGGAAGTTTGAGAAAGACGAGAAGTAGAATAAGCAAAGCATCAGCTACAAAACTGGAGGGATCTACAGTGTACATTAACCAGGAAGAAGCAACATCTGTGAATCTACACATTAACAAATTACCACAAACAATAGCAAAAAAAAAAAGCCAAATTTTGGAAAAAGGAAAAAAACATTTAAACAACAGCAAACCTTATATATAGAGTTACTATGCTTAACATGTTGAAGGTAGATGAAACTAGACAACCACAAAAAAATTTACCAATGAAGCTCATAACAAAATAAAAGAAAACAGACCCAAAAGGCATGAAAAGCAAAGCAACAAGTCAATCTCAACCTCCATATCACAGACCTAATGGCACAGCAAATGTGTAGTAAAGCAGAGCTGAACCAGTTGAAAAATGCATGAAAGTTCAACTAATGCATAGCAGAGAAACATAAATT